CCCTTGCCCCTGGAAATACTCCTTTCAGCAAGGGGTTTTGCTATCTCAGAACCAGAAAAATAACAAAATATATTCTAAAAAGCAAACATCTAAAACATTAATTTAAAAAAATATTTTTGCCCTGGTTTACTTGTGTGTGTGTAATGTGCATAGAGATGATTGTGTAAGCTTAAAATTAAGTCTTACTCTTGCATGTTGGGGGGGTGAGTATAGTTCTGTAGGGAGCTGTGGGTGCATACGTAGGGTGAGGGAGCATGTGGATTTTTGTATGGATACATGTGGTGTGGGGGGTGGGTGGCTCGGGTGTGAGTGTGTGTGGATGCACATGTATGGTGGGGTGTGCATGTGGGACTCACCCTACAAGCATACACGCTCTGCCCCTGCCTACATTCATGCACACACACACACACACCCTGCCTACACGCATACACATGCGCACACTCTGCTCCTGCCTGCGTGCGTGCACACTCCCCCGTACTGGTATGGGACCGTGCTGTCCGGTCCAGTCATTCAGCCAGGAGCCACGTGGTGCTGGAATAGGGCAGGGGCAGGAAGCAGGAAAATAGCTGAGGGTGGGCGGGGCTGGGTTCCTGCCTCCTGCTCCCCCTGGGTCTTACTGCCCCTGGCTCCTGTCATCTTTGACAGGCAGTCAGATAAATATTTTCTAAATTTTTTAGGAGTCCCGTGGGCTGGACAGAATGGCCTGGCAGGCCGAATCCAGCCCACGGGCCATATTTTACCCACCCCTGTATTAGAGAAAGGAGCATACCTTCATTAAATACCAGATTAAATCATTTAATCATAAAAGGCTTTAAAGGAAGAGCTATTGTTCAAACACTTGGTTTAGTTGCAAAAAGAAACAACTAAACTGTTTTAGATTATATTAGTTTAATAAACTTGTCTAGTGAATGTCCTTCAAAAATTTACTTTTGCTATATACAGTATATCTATACCTCTCGATCAATCAAATCGAGAGATATAGATATAATCTTGAAAATACACAGAACCTGTCCTTCCTAAGAAATCAGAAGTCATTTCTGTTATGGTATCTTAGAAAATCAGAATTAGCTGTCATTCCTGGGAGTAAGGCAGTAAGGCTTGCCCTACAGGCAAGAAGTTTGGAGAATTTATTCAGAGTACAATGCCCATTTGCAGAATATTTGGTTAGTTGTATCCTATTTTTTTTAAATCTACTTATATGGGTTTTTTTTAAAAAAAACAAAAACAAAAACAAACTAGTAAAAAATTAGTTGACATTTATTAGTATTGATAAGATCTTGGCTTTCTTTCAGGCTGTGTATCTAGCTCTCAATTATTTGTCAATCTGGGGGAAAAAAAAGTTAGTGCAGGAGATTTACTGACTAATTTAAATTCACATGTGCAGGATCAGTGCACGTAGCAGTCCACCATCCAACTGGATTTATGAACTCTTCAGTATATCTGATTCGAGACGCAAAGATTTAGTAAGTGATTCCACACTCCTACTACTTGAACCTCACACCAATGCCAAAGACTCAATCTAAAAACAAGGGATTTAAAGAAACTCTTAAGTGACACTGTCTGCCCCACGTATACCATCTATAAAAACTCCTGTGGACTGTGATACCAGGAATAAGAGAGAGCCCTCTACTTCTTCTAAGACAAACCCTAGGAAAAGCCATATCAAACCAGGATGCAGACTTTCCTATTCAACACTGCCAATAATTACCTTAGCTGGACACCTCCTTGAAGTGCAAATGCTCTAGTTGCAAAAGAAAGGACAAGAAAGAAAAAGAACAAATCCACTATTACTTTGACAGCTCCATAATACACCAAAAATCAGACTGACAGAAGTAATCTTAGCTATTTCTCTCTAGATTCAGCACAGTACAGAATTTATTCACCACATTATGGAAGCCAAGTATATTCCATGGAGACAATGGATCTTGTTCGTTTTAGAGAGTAAAATTAAAACAATGCCCTCACTCTCTGAGCTCTTGAGTGTAACTTCTTAAAGATAACAACAACAACAATACAATAACTAAACATTTATTAGATAACATTTCACTTGTTTACAAAGTTCAACTCCACAAAATATAAAAAAAATGTAAAAATGTCATAAGAGAAAATGTGTCAGTGAATACTATAAATCAAAGTATACCACAAAAATATCCTAGCTAGCCAATTATTTAAAAAATAAAGGATTTTGAAATTAATTTTCCTTGTAGGGAAATTTGCTATACCCAGTCTGAAGATCACAAGAATATTTGGAGGGGACGGTAACCCTTATTTATTTCTGGCCTTTTCATAATACACATCATCATCACCTGCTTTCTTGCCAATTAGATGTCGTTTAGTTTTGAATGCAAACAACTGTAAATGCAAAGACCAAAGTCTACTGGGGAAACTCTGGAAAGTTGAGATGAACCAAATGAAGATGTGAAATCAATGCGCACAAATTAAATCATGTTAAATCCCCCCCGTGGCTCTTCTCATTCAAGAGTACAGTGGCTCTAGTTTGCTGTAACTTAATTTGCCACAGAGGAACAAAGTCTGCATGGGGAAGCTTTTGCAAAATAAGGCAAGGTGTGAAATTAAAGTGCCGGAGCAATTTTGGACTTATTTCCTACATGGACACAATAAAAAATGGGCATGTTTGCTCTTTAGCTTAAATGACTTCCAAACTAAACCAAATTACAAAGGCTCACAGTAACATCTAGGAGCAGAGCTGGTGAGGAATAGCTCTTCCATAACCTATTCTGAACTATTTCCTAAGGCCCTAAACTACTTTACTTTAAAAGGCCTTTTCCCTAGCAGGCAAACAGATTAATCAGCACTTGAGGAAATCTGATTTTTGGAATAATTCCTAGAAGCAATGGTTTCTACATCTGCACTTAACCTTCCCTAGCCTCAAGGAGCGGCTACCTCACCTTGGCAAAATGGAATCAGCTTCCCATTTTGACTATTTTCATTGATAAGCAACGGCACAGTTTTCTTCGCGACTCTTTCCAAGGTGAAAGAGAGACATAATAGTTGCTTCAACTTGTTATTCCACAATGGTGAAAACATAGAAAGACTGCAGAGGTGGAAAAGAAACCTCTGACTCTTGCCAATTCAGTGTCTCACGGCCCAGGTAGAAGTTCTCTGCTCTATTTCTCTCCTGTAAGAGCTAAATGGGCAAAAAGAGATGGGAGGTCACAGTGACCTACTCTATGGCTACGTGCCGCAGCCTTGACTAGATACAGCTACTAGAGGAGAATCAAAATAATGCAATGCCTAGCCTTCAGTTCAGAAGGGAGGGGAAGGATCTGGGTCTATTGTCTAGTGATGCTGAACAGGAGAATACTGAAGAGATGCCAGTATTGTTCGCATCCCATGAACTGCAATTCCTGAAAGACAAGTGTGTCGGAGGCAGTGCGCGTTGACTGTTGATCTGATTCACACAATCAAAAGCAATGGGACTTTCCCTGCCTCCAAATAAAACAAGGGCTAAAGAAGCTCCTGAAAGATAAATTGGGACTTACAGGGGGCAGTGATTAAAGAAAGCCATCCAAGTGATGCCAACCATAAAAGGAAAACTGTTTCTCTTGAGAGATGACGAAAGGGGAGAGGGGTGGAGCAGAACGACAGGGTTTTTCAGGGACGCGCTGCCCTGCAGTGCCTCGGACCTGCGCACCCCTTGTTACAGTACAGGACAACATGGAAATGGGCTTTAGAGATAAGCAAAACTTGGGAGGGCAGCTAACTCTTGGTCCATCTCCTGGCTGAATGGCATCAGAAACAAACAGGGCCCAAGCAACTTCATGGGGGACTATTCGGTGGCCGCTCAAGGCGACTTTTGTTGAAACATCACAATGTCCAAAGTGGCAAGGATGAGGCGGCCTCTGAGCCTGGTTGTTGAGCTGCAAGAAGCAGCTCCCAGCTCCACGTTTCCCTGCTGTCCTGCTCCTGGCACAGAAGCCTGGAGCCGGCTTGGGAGGCAGAACTCCCTTGACCCGTTTGTTGAGTAACAAGGCAGGATCTCCAATTAAAGGTGGGGGGTGAGAAACCTCTGATCAAACAAAGCCTCCGCCCACAGGCTCGGGTGCCAGCATGCCTCGGATCCCACGTACCAGCCGCGAAAACTTTAGCAGCCGCAGCCAAGGCAGAGCCCGGGGGAAGGGGCCAGCGGCCCCGCGCGGCGGGAGCGGCCGCCGGGGGGGCGGAGCCGGGACGCG